GGGCTTCAAGAGCTGAGTTTGTTAAAAAAATTCATGAAAAGATTAAAACTCATATACAACTTCAAAATGAGAAGTATGCTTAACAAGGAAGTAAAGGCAAGAAACCTATGATCTTCGAGGAAGGTGATTGGGTTTGGCTTCATTTAAGAAAAGAACGTTTTCCAAAACAGAGGAAGTCCAAACTCAGTCCTAGAGGAGATGGTCCCTTTCAGGTCTTACAGCATATCAATGATAATGCTTATAAACTTGATTTACCCTCTGATTATGAAGTAAGCCCTACTTTTAATGTTAGTGATCTCAAACCTTTTGTAGGTGCTAGTGATGATGAGGAAGAGTCTTCAGATTCGAGGACGAATCCTTCTCAAGAGGGAGGGAATGATGGAAGAGCATGGGCTAAAGGCCCAACCACTAGAGCTATGGCCAGGAGATTACTTGAAGACTTGTCTGCTTCAGAGCTTAGTGGGCCCAATGGGCTTGGTGGGCCTAGGGTGCTTCTCACTTGGACCTTACTTGAATAAACACCATGTTTTATTGCATTTCTTAGCATAGGAAGTTACTTTGATTTTTGGTCTTGTATTTTGACCATAGATTAGGGTTTATGTGTTTGGGCTTGTAATTGGGCTTCTTAGGCTTTGGGCTTTTGATACCCAATATTAGGCTCATTCTTCTTCTTGTAATTTTTCCTATTCATTGTATTTCTTTGACCAATGTATTTCGGTCATTAGATTAGGTTTATTTGAAGTATACATTAATAGGTGCATTAGGATTCATTCTTATGTCATTTAGAAGTAATTTTATTTGAATTTGAGTCACATGGATTGCATGGTAAGGAACCAGCCATGTGAGCTCTAAATTCACATCAAATAACTTCCAAATTACATTAGGATGAAGGTACCATCTGGATTAGTCACTTGGCTAGCCAAAGTTTGAATTTCAAATTCAAATTTGAAATTCAAACTTGGCGCCAACTAGCTTACACGGATTGGCGCCACTTAACCTAATTTTTCCCACCTATAAATGTGTAACTCTTACCTTGTTTTTGCACTTTTGAATATATTGAATTTCTGATTGCATTTTCAGCAATTCTTCAAGAGTCACCGAGTTTAGAGAGAGAGCAAGGGAGTGCCTTCAAACACCATAGGAGTTCCTTAATTCCTTCTCTTTGAAGTGAGCAATCCTTTGCTCTTTAAGCTTGGATGCTTCCACCCAAGGCTTTGCCTCAATCCATCCGTGCATCTTCATCCTTCTTTGGTTCATCATTTCGGTTTCAATTTCCTTGAAGGAGATCCGAGCTTAAGGAGAAGCTAAGGAGAGGTTTTATCATCACTTCTCCCACCTTCTCCATCACTTGTCTATAAACAGAATACTTGGTTGAGCTTGGATAGAGTTGTCTTTAAAAAAATACTTGTTTGAGCCTAAAGAGACTTGACTATGAAAGAATACTTGGTGATAAAGTTTGTAAAGGATTTATGTGAAAAGAATACTTTGGTAGATTATTTGAAAATACAATTCAAAGAACACTTAGGTTTGAGCTAGAAGTGACTGTTGAAAGAATACTTGTATCTTGTTTAAGATAGTGAAACTTAATCTAGTTAGATTAAGAATTAGAGGTAGTTTTGATAGTTGAGATGAACCAGTATAAAAATTATCGTGTGTGTTGTCTGTCTTTTCTCCAACACTTTTTATTATTAACATTACTACTTGAAAAAGTGTGAATTTTTTATTAACACTATTTAACCTCCCTTCTAGTATTTATCTTTTCTCCACACTGGTTTTTAAGGCTTTTCTACCTTAGCCTTCACATATCACAATTTGATGTATGATGATCTAACTAGGCGCTACAAATTTTATTCCTTTTAATTTTTTTAATTTTTCTCCATGTAATTTTTTTGTTCCATTTTTGTCCTTGTGATTAGTTTGACCATTAAATCTAATGAAAAAAAGTCAAAAAAAAAATTATAGGTACCAAAATTGAAAACTAAGAAAACTACATGAACAAAAAAAATGTTAAAATGAAAACAACTAAAATTTGGGATGATTGAAACAAAAATAACAAAAATTAATAGGATTAAAATTAAAATAATCTTAATTTAAAAAGAATAAACTTCTATTTAAGTAAATTTACAGTTTAAATTTTAATTTACTATTATACAAAAGAAAATTTTGAATTTTTAGTAATTATTTAAAATATTAAGTCTTGAACATAAAATTTCATAGAAATTATCGAGTAAAGTTGCAATAGCATTCAACTTTTGAATGAAATATAACAAATGAAAAGAAATAAGAGCGAAATATAGAATATAATACCAAGGATTTTTGTTGTGCTTAATATAATCTATGTTGTTCTTGATATAAAGGGTGATGATGTTATTATACAACTTCTATGAAAATATGCATTTAATTTTTTTTTTTTTAAATGTTAGTCACCAATGCATTTGTTATTGTTATTTTTTTTTATTATGCATTAATGCATTTATTGTATTAAAAAATTTAGATTTTATAAATTTGACTCATAAATATTTAGTCCCTATAAAATAAGGTTGCTTTTGTTTTGATTCTTTTAATTTTAGTTATTTTTATTTTAATTTTCTCAAAATTTTTTGTTTTTGTTTTAGTCCTCTCATTTTTTTAGTTGTTTTTATTTTGATCCTTATAATTTTTTTGACATTATAAAAAAAAATTAAGCTTAATCATGCTTTTGATCCCTCTAGTATTATAATTTTGTGATTTTAGTTCTTAAAATTTTAATTGAACAATTTTAGTCCTTCAAATATCACAATTATACGATTTTGGTTTCCTAATTTTTAATTAAGCAATGTTAGTCCTCAAGTATCACAATTATATAATCTTGACCTATTTAAGTTATATATATATATATATATAAATATTATAACTTTCATTTATATATTAAATTATATATGTTTATTATTATTAAAAATACTAATATATGTAATTTAAATAATTAAAAATTTATATAATTATAATACTTAAGAAATTAAAATCAACAATTGTAATACTTTAAAAATTAAAATTACTCAATTAAAAATAAAAAATTCAAATCACAATTACAATATTATAAGAACTAAAATTATTGAATTAAAATTTAAAGAGTTAAATCGAACTCCTCTATACTTGAAGGATAAAAAGACATATAAGAAGAAAAAATAAACAACCAAAGCTCCAATAATAAAAGGTACAAATATAATAAGAAGATGATTATAATAATACCAGTGTAACTTTTATTAAGTATTACACCACTTAATAACTTTATATTAAATGTGAATTTTGTAAATTCAATCGTTAGATTGAAAGTTCTTTACTCTTAGATCATATATACAAAATTTTATATTAATTTGAAATAATTTGATACTTCATTTTTATAAAACAAAATTCAACGAATATATATATTTCAAAACATATTAAAATTCATGTAATTCAATCTAATGATTAAATTTACAAAATTGACATTTAATATAAAGTTATTAAGCAGTATAATACTTAATAAAAGTTATACCGATATTATTAAAATCATCCTCATATAATAATAATATAAAATAAAATAAAAAACAAAAAAAGAGTAGGCGTTAAACATTACATTTACATCTTTATTTGCGTTTGCATTGGGGAAGCCTGTAGGTGTTTTTGGAAGACTTTGGTGAAAGCTATAGTCTCGCGGTTGTAATTGCAGTTGCAGTTGCAAGCTGTAATCAGATTCCAAATGGTGTGTGCGTGAACTTCTCTTTGCATTGTTTCTTACGATCTTTACTTGTCATTTTTTCATATATCTTTTATTCATGTCTTCATTTTCTGAATTTTGCATCCCAATCAGAATTCAGATCTAGCTTAGCCACAAACAGAAGCACTTCAGATGCGTTCTAGATCTTTCTTGCAACCTGGGTCGGATCATATTTTTAATTCCATTTTAAAATTTTGACACTGTTTGACTCTCTAGTCAATTTTGGTACATACGAGTTGAAAATGTTCGTGTTAGTCTTGTAATTAATGCCAGGCATCTTTGCTTGAAGTTGATTGTTATGTTGTAGATTTTTGGCTAGATTTCTGTTGAATTGTGATCGCTCTTTTCATGCCCTGATTTGATTAATCTGTGTGGAAATCGGGGGCACCAAATTGGAAAGAAAATAAAATGGTTAGATAAGCATACAACCTCATAATCATCCAAATTTTCCATTTTTCTCTTTGTCGTGCTTTTACTTGAATACAAGAAAGAAACGAAGTGAGGGTGAGCCTTGGCGCAATGGTCTTGTTTTAAATCGTGGTTGTTGTTGTCATGATCCTTGATACTAAATGTGGCCACAATTGTAGTCACAATGTGGTTTTCCAATAAAAAAACTTAGGATGCAGCAGAAATTGGGGTTGTGGACTGCATTGAAATCATACTAACAGCCTAGCTTCTGCCAAGGATAAGGCTGTGTAAATCTGCTTTCCCTAGATCTCCTTAGGTAGGATAAGGCTGTGTAGTGGGTTTTCCAGTTTTCCTTTATAGGAAAGAAATGAAGTAATGAACTAGAGTCATCAATGTTGTACACTGTTTGCTTTGGAGCTTTTGCATTATTTGGTAATCAATTGTGTAAATAAGCCAAAGTCTGTTGCATAAATCAAATGCCTATAAAACTGCTGAAAAGTACTGGATTTTACTTGCTTGTGCATGTCCTCAATTGTGCTGAAAAATATATATATCTGAACTTCATTCATTGTCTTATGGCATACATAGTTGGGTTGGGGGACCTGTCAATGTTCTTTCATATTTTGGCAAAAAAGTAGGCAACTTTAAGATGATCGGAATAGGACCCCTTTCCCTACTGTAATTAGGATGCTCTAATTGTAATACTTGAGTGCATATTTCGGGGTTGCTAGTTATAACGTGCATGTTCTTTATGTATTTCCAATGTGATTGAACATGCTTTATTCCTCTGCTATGTAGATCCACTTTGTACTTCTCATTAGTCGCCAAGGGAAGGTGAGGCTGACAAAATGGTACTCACCTTATTCTCAAAAAGAAAGAAGTAAGGTAACTATTGATTTTTTTCCATCCTTTTTTATTTACATATGTTTACATGACAATGTTGCATGTTGAGCAGAGGATATATGTTTTTTCCTCTTGTACTGTTTACATTTCATACTACATTGGTAATGATGGTATTATCATGGCTATTGCATGTTGAAAACATTATATTCTGCAAATTAACTATCCTCACCATGTGAATTTACTTGTAATTTATTTTTGAAAGGTAATCCGCGAGCTCAGTGGAATGATTATTTCCCGTGCTCCCAAGCAATGTAATTTTGTAGAATGGCGAGGATATAAAGTTGTTTACAAAAGGTAGGTAACAAAGAGACCATAGCTTTGTTCATATATTTGCCACTTGTAAGCACCCTTCTGTTTGTCGTGGTAATTAACTTGGTCTGTACTAATGCATATTTGGTGCAGGTATGCTAGTCTCTTTTTCTGCATGTGTATTGATCAAGATGACAATGAATTGGAAGTTCTTGAAATAATTCATCATTTTGTGGAGATTCTTGACCGGTATTTTGGCAGTGTGAGTTCTCATAAGCTTTGACATTTGAAGAACACTACCAGATTTACTGTAGAAATGCTCTGATTATTCTAGTTATCTATTAAGGTTTTATAATGATTGTTTCATGTTTTGCAGGTCTGTGAACTGGACCTAATATTCAACTTTCACAAGGTTTGTTCCTGGGTCATGGCCAATGTTCATAAGTTGAAAAACTGGCTACTTGTTTTCCTTTTCATCTGTTACCATTGTATATGATTCTTTCCATATAGATCCACCCTGAATTAGCGTCAATAATTAATTGTACAAAGTTCCAGTTTGTTTTTGTTAAGTAATGTCCCTTCTGATTGATATTTTGTTTTTGTATTGTGGAAGGCCTACTATATACTAGATGAAATTCTAATTGCTGGTGAGCTTCAAGAGTCCAGCAAGAAAACAGTTGCTCGATTGATAGCAGCACAGGCATGGAACAATTTTTCTCTTTCTTAAATGCTTTGCTGACAGTTTCTTTCTCAATGTTATGTTGAATGAATTTTACATTGATACTGACTTTCAGGATTCATTGGTGGAGACTGCAAAGGAGGAAGCGAGCTCATTAAGTAATATAATTTCACAAGCCACTAAGTGAGAAAGAAAAATGTTAATGTTTCTTGCAAATATAGTATGTGGATGTACCATTTTTACTGTTATAAAGTTGACTTTATTGCAGTTGTCCTTCTCATATCATGTTTGTGTATGCCTGAATTTTCCTATTACTGATGTTTAGTGGTGACATTTTCCTAAGCCCTGAGAATTACTTTTACTTTGTATGCTGCTTTGAGACAGAAATTCAATAGTATGCTTGTTAATATCCTTTATTCCTTTCCCGTTTTGTAATATATTGTTTTCTATGTAAGAACGAGAGATAATGAAAAAAAGGTTATAACTGTATTCGAGGGGGGAAAGGATTTGGTGACTTTGTGGCGTGGACATCACCATAACTTTCTTTTATTTTTTGTCATTGGATCAATCTCATGTTTCAGTTTTTGCCACTTGTCTTAAACTTATTTATTTTTATTAATAATAAAATACTTTATTTGTTTGTTGCTACAAAAATTGCATTGCCCTTTACCACCTCCATTGACATTGTCGACACTATAAGGTACAAGTCCAACTCCTCTCTCTAAGGTTTTCAGTTTTCACTTTCCCCTTCTCCAACTCCACTTGTTGCTGGCACCCAATACCCTATTTTTATTTGGATTGGTGTGTTGAGTTTTTTAAAGGGATCAAATTTAGTTTAAACACCCTAACAAGTAACTTTTTGCTGTAAATTCAGATGACAATAAATCTAGTGCTGTAATTTTCTTTACTGATTTTCAATGTTTATAAAGATCTCAGATGATAGCAAATCTAGTGCTGTAATTTTTTGTTGACTTCAGTTGATCTCTTTTTGTATTATCTTGCTCTCTCTTGTATCTAAATGCATATGACAACAAATTCAGACTATATTTCTATTTCAACTGCAATCACGTGTTATGTCTTCCATTGTAAACTGATTCATCTGTGTTACATTTTAGCCAATCTGTAGTTGGGAGGGGACATTTGACTTGAACCACATGATTAAAGGCAGTATTAATATCCATTTGTAAACCTCTCAAGTTAGCTTTATTTCTGCTTTTCCACATTTCAGCAATAATGAATCCAAAATGAGATGGCCAAAGGAGGAAATTGTCCATTTTAATAGAGTAAGATAAATGAGATTCATCCAAGTATGTCCAACTGGAGAAAATTTGGAGGCAGGATTCCAGATAAAGACATCCAAACTAGAAAAGAGTAATGAAAGTCTTGGAGGGCATGTAGCTGAGTTTCCTCTGTCATGTTACAAACTGGGCATGTTGAGTCTGAGGAAATGCTTCTGGGAAAGGTCAGATTTTTAGAGGACATGTGTAGAAATCTGAGTCATTATATTAATCGAACGGCACAAGTGTTCACCTACTGAGTGATATTCGTGCCACAAAGTTACAAAATCATTTCCCATTCGAGAGGGGTGAATTCAAATTTTAATAGGTAATGTATTATCTTCACTAATAATGGACAAGAAACTATCATAAATAATGCCTACATGTTTGTGATATTACATTGCAGGTACTGACAAATTTGGCATTACCACATGGTTTAAGCCTAAGGGATTGCGTGTTTATTCGTACTTGTACATAGAATAGGTAAAGAAAGAAAAATTATTTGCATGCCCGAGGGAACAGATTTTGACAAAAATGGCATTAGTCAAAAGACCCTTTGAATGCATGCAAGTTAAGTTGAGCTGCTGAAATAATTTAATCTAAAGGATACTTTGTCTTGCAACGCTATGTATTTCTTCATTCTTTTTGACTTATATTGATCTTATATTTTGCTAATCTAATAAATATTTTCTAGCTCTGTCTGGACTAGGCTCCAACTTTTTGGTGATCTTTTCCGGAGATTTTATCTCACTCACTGGATCCATCTTTGGAGTAGTTATAGGTGATGCATGTTAATAGAACCTAAAGGTGATATAGTAGTTAGGATCACAGATCACACTACATTAGAAGGTGGCGTCAAGGTGGCTGGTTAAATGGCGAGGCGATCAACTGCATATGTTGACTCCTTTATTGCAAGTAACAATGCACTGAGATCTTTAGCTGCAGATAAAGAGTTAGTAGTTAAAGGATATTTGTTCCTGCCCAAGATGTGTTGATATCTGATACAGGACTTGCATAAGGACACGTGTCATTAGGAGATTTAATGAGTTGGTTAATTCTGTTAAACTTCCAGTTTGAGAAGTTGTTAGTCTGTTGAATTGCTGCTATATAGCAGATTGTAAAGAATAGCTCGGGATATACAATGAAATCTCTGGAAATTCTTATAATTCAATAAATTCTTCTTGTTCGGATTCCATTCAATTCTTTGGATTCCCTACCCTTCTTGGTTGTTCTTCGAGACCATTGATCCTCCTAGAAGAACCCTATCAATTGGTATCAGAAGGTGACCTTCCAACCACGTTTTTGCCATGGCCAACAACACACGCTCTGTTCGTGATGACTTTGAGAGCTTCAAGGCTTCAATGGAGACGCGTTTCTTAGACATGGGAACTTCATTGGAAGCCCGCTTCATGGACATTGGGGCTTCCCTAAAGAACAGTCTTGAGGAGATGTTCCGTAACCGTGAAAACCACACTTTCCTTGGTAATGGTAATCAATCTCGCCCTTACTCTTGTCATACCCGGTTGGCTAGGCTAGATTTTCCTCGCTTCAATGGTGATGGTGTGAAACAATGGTTAATCCAATGTGAAACTTTTTTTTCTGTCGATGGTACACCGGAGGATTACAAAGTTCGGTTGGCAGTGATTCATTTCGAGGACAAAGCCCTGCAATGGCACAGTGCCTATGTCAAGAATGTAGGTTTATCAAATCTTCCATCTTGGGATGAATACACCAAGATCTTGATTGCTCGTTTTGGCGAGGTATGCGAGGATCCTATGGCTGAATTGATGAGGTTAAGACAAAAGAATTCTGTTCAGGAATATCATGAAATTTTTGATCGAATAGTTTCTCAAGTGGAACTCTCGGAGGTCAATCAATTGAGCTGTTTTTTGGGCGGATTGAAGCAGGACGTGCAGATGATGGTTAGGATGTTCCAACCCACCTCTGTGATGAAAGCTTTTTCGTTGGCCAAGATGTATGAATCTGCAAACAGCACTAATTCTCAACCTAAACCATTTTCCAAACAACTTAAACCAACCTTATTACCTAGCTCTTCCAAAAACCTGGAAATCAACCGACCCAAACCACAAACTACTAGAAGTTTAACCCCTGCTTATATGAATGAAAGGAGAGCCAAAGGTCTCTGCTACTTTTGTGATGAACCATTCACCCCTGCTCATAGCTTAACCCACAAGAAATTACAGATCCATGTCTTGGAGTTGGAGGAGGCCAATGATTCTGATGAGGAAACCCCACCAGCAGTGGAAACAGATGCAAGCAATGTGGTAGAACCTTTAATTTCAGTTAATGCCTTGACTGGAGTTACTGGCTTTAGAACAATGAGGGTCACTGGACTTTTCAAAAAGAAACCTCTGCATATCCTAATTGACAGTGGAAGCACTCATAATTTCCTGGATGTTCACCTGGCCAAAAAGCTGGGATGCGAGATTTCTAGCATGGATCCTTTGAGTGTCACGGTGGCTGATGGTGCTAGGGTGCAGATCAACAGTATGGTCAAAGGATTTTCATGGCTGCTGCATAATGCATTCTTCAAATCTGACATGCTGCTGTTACCCTTGGGATGTTGTGACATGGTGCTGGGTATCGAATGGTTGATTACATTAGGGGATATCACTTGGAACTTTGAGAAATTGACCATGGAGTTTATGGTGAATGGTAGGAGGCTTGTGTTGAGGGGCGCCACAGGTACAGGACTTAAGACAATCAGGAAACAGCGGTTGGATAAGACCCTTTCAGCTGGAGTCCACATATCCATGCTACAGGTGTGTGAAACAGGAGAAGGTGTTTTATTACACTCCTTATCAACCCATGCTGATTCCATTGCTGTTCCTAACAACATTGAGAAATTGTTGTTGGATTTTGAAGATGTGTTTCAGGAGCCAACTACTCTTCCCCCTAAAAGAGCTGAACATGATCATAGAATTCCGCTGGTTCAAGGTACAAATCCTGTGAATAAAAGGCCCTATAGATATGCAAAGCAACAAAAAGACATCATTGATGGAATCATACGGGAATACTTGAAATCGAGCATCATTCAGAACAGTAGCAGTTCTTATTCTAGCCCAGTTGTTTTGGTTGGTAAAAAGGATGGTGGTTGGAGACTTTGCATAGATTACAGGGAGTTGAATAAAGGAACAGTAAAGAACAGGTTTCCTATCCCTTTAGTAGATGACTTGCTAGATGAGTTACATGGTTCCAAAATCTTTTCTAAACTTGATTTGAGATCTGGCTACAATCAAGTTCGAGTGGCTGATGAGGATGTGCACAAGACAGCTTTTAAGACTCACTCGGGGCATTATGAATACTTGGTTATGCCCTTTGGGCTGACAAATGCCCCTGCCACTTTTCAAGGACTCATGAATACTGTGTTTCAAGAATTTTTACGGAAGTTTGTCTTGATATTTTTTGATGATATTTTAGTATATAGCACCTGTCTTGAGGACCATTTGGTTCATTTATACCAAGTCCTATCCATTATGAGAAACCATTCACTACTTGCCAAGAAATCCAAGTGCTACTTTGGAGTTACAAAGGTGGAGTATTTGGGACATTTCATCACAGAAGAGGGTGTTGCTACAGATCCTGCTAAGATAATTGCTGTGCAAAAATGGCCTTTACCCCAATCTGTGAAGCAATTAAGAGGATTCTTGGGATTGGCGGGCTACTATGGAAGATTTGTCAACCGGTATAGCACCATAGCTAGACCATTGCATGACATGCTCAAGAAGGATGGTTTTAGTTGGTTAGAGGAAGCCAAGTGTGCTTTTCAGAAATTAAAAACTCAATTGAGCAACACACCAGTTCTAGCCTTACCTAATTTCTCTAAAGAGTTTGTGCTTGAGGTAGATGCATCCGGACAGGGAGTTGGAGATGTTTTAATGCAGGACCGACATCCAATAGCCTACATTAGTAGGAGCTTTAATCAGCAGCAGCAAGCACTTTCAACTTATGAGAAGGAACTGCTAGGAGTTGTGTTTGCAGTTCAGAAATGGAGACACTACTTACTACCTAAGAAGTTTACTATAAGAACTGATCATCAAAGTCTAAAGTACATTCTAGATCAACGGTTGTCTACGGCATTCCAGCAGAAGTGGCTAATTAAATTGATGGAGTTTGAT